TCTAAAATGAAGAAAAGAGTTAAAAACATGAAGATGTGAGTACAAGAACCTGTTAAAGAAAGCAGTCAGCTGGATTGGATTATCTGTGGCTACAGAAAGAAACAAAAAGAGAAAACACAGCCTTTGCTTTTGATCTAAAATTCAAGTGCACTTTTTCTTCCCTTAAACCAGCCACTAACTTCACTATGAGACAGACTTAAAATAGCTGCTTATAATACTACAAAATGATTATGTAGCAGTAACTCGTTAGCACTGCTAAAATGCCAAAGTGCAGTTGAAAATATGGAAAAAAAATCAGCAATAGTCTTGTAGCCAAGTAATTGGTAGAACTCTTGGCTTAATTTATAACATATTAAAATCTTAACCTTTTATATATTAAAATATTTTGATACTAAGTTATGAGCAGTCAATATTTAAATTGTACATTGGTAACTATTTTCTGATGCTACTCTTTCAGAAAAAAATTGACTTGTGTTACAGTGAGGTTTAGAGTATCAGATCTGGTTCTGGATAATACAAGGACAGGTTCCTCCAAATCTAATTATTAATGGCATTATTGAGTTCAACCAGATGTTTCACATGGATAAAATTAAGTACAGGAATAAATCAAGATCCAAGAGCACACTTAGATTTGACAGAAGATAAGGAAAGGTGAAACAAAAAGTAATGAATACAGTTAATGAAAAGCTATATATCCCTTGTTGTTAATGTAACTTGAAAATTAAAATTCAAAACGTACCAGATCTGTTAAATGACCACTCTGCTGCCAGACAAATGAGCAGATGTTTCTCCCATCCTATCACCTACTGGGCTTCTGTCTGTTCAACCTTTAGCCACCCTGAGTACTGAACCTTCCACAGCTTCCCAAGGTACTTACATGAGAGATAAACATACTTTCAATGTACAAAATAAAGCTAGTGAGCTACATTTGTACTAACAATGTCAGGATTTCAAGTAGTATCCTAATGGATAATCCTTTACAGAGAGGATAGAAGTGAAAGGCAGAGACTGTGATTTAAAATACAGTATATACTTGTCCTCTCACTTCTAAAACTGCAAGATCATTTGCATCTAGTCAGCTGCAGATCAGACACTAAAGAAGAAAACCAATTAACATCTAGTATTTTAAGAAAAGGTGGAAGACATTAAAACCCCAAACAATTTCTAAGAAGCAAAAATACTTTTAAAGAACATTTCAGCCATAGCTAAGTTGACAGAAACAGGAATTTCTATTTAAACACCAACCTCAGCCAATAATTACAATTGTACTAGTATAATAATAAATCTAAATAGAGTCAAGAATTAAGTCAAAGTGTCTCTGAGGTATTGTTGTTCTAGTAAGTTTACCTGGAAACACGGACTGAGCTGCGGCTGGCTTAGGATCAAGGTGGCACAGAGGGAAATGCGGAGCATGCAGTGTGCACTCCCTCTGCTGGGCACTGGAATTATCCCGAGCAGACAAAAAAGGGCTATGTCCGAGCATCCAGGCACCGTGAAACAACAGCCCTTTTACAGCTCCCACACTCTTCCCCTGGATTCAGCTAAAACTCACATTCACAGAAAAACGGATTTCACAACTCGTTTGTACTCCCAAAATACAATTCCTATCAGAAACAAACACCCGATTCACACCCCAGACAAGGATTTTAACTGCAGTGAACCTAACTTGTGTAAGCACACACAAACTCATTTGCCCTTGATCAATACACTAAGTCTGTCATTTTTTGTCCACCCTCCACCTATCTGAACAAAAAAGATGGGAAGAAATGTTTTGATGCCTTCTAGGGGCACAGCAATTGGAAGAGGGAATGTGTAGTCTGGGCAGCTGGGATGTATAAACAATTATAAAATCTGTTGGAAGGGATTTGTTTCTACACAAAGGATAACCTTTGTTTTTCTTTTCCCTCTCCTCCCACAGCTCCTCAGAGGCAATGGTGCCATAGGCTACTGGTGCTGGTAGGGTATAAGTATCACATAAAAACAATTACCTTCCTTGTAATTAAGACTCTCTGATAGTTTGAGTTCTTCACTCTCGTGGAGCAGAAAAGAAAGAGGTGGTTATAGCTCATGTCACTATAAAACATTTTAAGCCAAAGAGTCTCACTGTATAAACTTCTGTGCCTTCCTTCAAGTGACTTTGTATAAGGGAAGTTCCATAACCTACAGAAAGTTCTCCCGTGATTTGCAAAGCAGTGGGGCTTTTCCAGTTTTCAGTAAAGGTAAAAAAAAACTCTAGAGAAAACAATTTGTGCTAATAGGCTCTGGTTGCCTAAGACTCCTGCCTTGGAGGCTAAGACTCCAAGAATCTGGAAAATGAAACAAGAAGCAGTGGGCAGCATGGAGGCAATAGTGAGGATTGCCAAAAGCAGACACCCTGTGCACCAAACAAACGATTCTTCTGTGAAAGCAGGCCAGGTAACCACCAACTTCTTCCCCTCAGTGTAATTTACATCCAGCTACATGGCTGGTGTATTCATATTGAGCTGCAGCATCAAGAACTGCTCCAGATATATAAAATTATTTGCACTTCAGTCACATGCATGTGTAACTGCTCAGCTAAGTACCAATGACATATGGCAATGGTAAGGAACTCCAGGACCTTCCCTCTTTTAAGTGGCAATTTAAATCCCTGTGGAACTGAGAGTTATAGCAGAGTTCATAGCAATAACTCCCCAGTTTCACTGTCTCTCACTTAATCCTCCCCTTTATTAACTTTCTTGATCTCAATTTGAGAATGGGTAAAGCCTCTACTCACAGACAGAACAGAAACAAAGCACGGAAGAGAACAGATGAAAAGGGGAAAATTAGTGACCACAGAAGCATGGAGATTGAGCATGAAGAAAATGCAAGAAGTCTGAGGAGAATGGTCAAGGCCAAGACTCAGCCAAGTTGCCAAGTTCCAATCATTCTGCTTTATATTGCTAATTAAATAAAGCCACTCTCTCCCCTAAGGAAACTCTTGCTGCCATGCAGGATCATGATTACACTTGAAATGAGAAATTAGACAGACAATTCCCTTTTACATTCTCCAGCTAACCACACAGGTACCTCAAACTGGTCACCAGTCACTGGGAAATGCAGAGATGTCATTGACCCAACTAGGAACCAAACAATTTACACAGGACCCTCTGCACTCAGACACTTTAGTTACAGTCTTCCTTTCTGCTAACTGAATGCTCCCCTTCATGTCCAGGTGTGCTCATCCTGACAGGTGAGCAGGTACAGCACTTACTGACTTTTTGTGTAAAAAATAGCATCCATGATGCATTGTCAGGACAAGGTGGCTGGGAGCAGAGCTTCGAGGACTGAGAGACTATTAGTACTTTTTCTCTTGGGTTTAAAGGTACAGAAGACAGTAAAACTCTGGTATGGAGCTATAACTCCAATGACACAAGGACATACAGACAAAGCCACAACACATAACACAAGCAGCAATGCTGAACTAAAGAGGAGCTGTGTGTAGTGTTCCATATGCTGACATGGAAGTATTTGACAGATGGGGATTTAATAACCATGGTCGAAGAGATTCTGTTTATTTTGTTCTATCAGACTCTCAATTTACTATGTTTTTACGTTTCAATAAAATCATCTGACACATGAATAAAATATAATTTACACAGTTTCCTTCTGCAGTACAAAGCTCTCTGTGTTCAGGTTATAAATTTAAAATAATACAGTAGTAACACTGAATTTGGGTATTTTCCACTGGAGAAAAAAACCTCTGTGAATAATTACATATTGTTTTCAGTGCCTAAGTTAACTCAATCTGCACTGCTTTGCTTTAAATTTATTCTTCGTGAGCACTGCTATGTATTTCCCTTTTTTTTCCTTTTAAACAGTGGAATTTATTAGCTTTCAAACCCTATATACATAGCATGGATCACTCTCTAGAAGTGGTAACAATACCATTTTAAACACACACACACACACACATGAAAATCAAGGCTTGAATGTCCTTTATACCCTGCAAGAAATATAGCAACCAATATTCCATGCAGAGGTGCAGCAAATGAAGTCCTGTCAAGCAAATGGCAGGAATGACAGCAGATGTCTGGATTCCTTCATAGCTGGTTGCATAAACGTAGCACACATATTTCACTGGAGAAAAAAAACCTCTGACAAGACAGTCTTTCAGTACTTTTCATTCAGAGTTGGCATTTTTGACTGGTGTGGCACATCAGTAGGTGTTAAGGTGATGAACGAGATTGATCTTGATTCAGCTTAATTTCCACAATGAAAGCAAAATCTACAACACTCAGTCATTGCTAAACAAAGCTACCACAACTTAGTCCAAGTTAAAATGTCCAGATCAAATCTCTACAATCCAGTCCTAAACCAGATTCTACTCTGCAGCCTGGCCCAAAACACCTATTTTCATGTCGTGCTATGCAGTAATTCTGTTTGATCACAGCCAACAGAAATGAGTATTGTGCAGCTCTGACTTTTAGCTATTTGATCTACTCTGGATCCACAAGTTCTACCTATGTGACAAAAGGCATCTAATCTCTAAAACAGTTTGATGCTTTAAAGGTTTCTGTAATAACTAATTCCCTTGAGACATCCTCAATCACATTACATGCTCACTAGAGAGAGCAAATGCTCCAAAGCAGAGAAACTACTTTCCTGAACTGTCAGACATTCCCATAGTTTGGCAAGCTGTAAAAGAACAGTGTTTACTGAGAAATATGGACAAAAGAAGCTGAGGACATAACAGTGTTACATATGAAGAAACTAAGAGCAAATACAATCTGCACTTAACCACTTCTCTATCCTAAATCACAGGGCTGCATTAAATGGTTTTATCTAGTAACCAGGCCCCTGGCATACTATACAAGTGTTTACTGCAACTTCCTTGAGTGAAGCTACAACCAGCTGAATTACTGTACTTTTCAAGAAAACTTGTGTTGAAGTTTCCAGATTAAGGCTTAAGAGCAGTTTTTTATACAAGCTAAGTGTTAGTAATGATCCTCTCTAGTAAAGCAGAATTTTAAGAAACTCACCACTTTTCTCTTTTTTGCTTTAACAGAAATATTCATTTCCTTGTATTTATTCATAGCAGTCTCCATTTTATTCTTGAGCTCAATGGCACATCTTAGCCGATCATCATTGATTCCTGCTCTGGTAAGTAACTGCAAAGCAAGAAAACAACATTGTTATTCTTTTTTCTAGACATCTGAGCCAAAAAAACGCTTTCAGCTTTCCTTCATAATTAATGAAATGACATTGTCACAAATTCCTTTATTTTTACAGGTAACAATTAGTGAAGCCAATTCTTTTCCTATCTAGAATATAAAAACTAATAGCAACTAGTGAGGACAAACAAAGAATGAAAAGCTGTTCTAAAACATCTGAGAGTGTCCTTCTATAGGCCAAATTCCATGCAGGAGGCTCCAGGACATACTGTTGTTCTGATACAGAGATGTCTGACACAAACAAGCTGTGTTTTACTTAAACCCTCTGTGAAGAAGCCTCATTCCACTCCACCTTAAAAAAACAAAAAACAAGTATTGACTATAAGTGCCACATCCAAGGCTGAGAACTATCAAACAAATCATGTAGCTCCTGCAATCTCCCTTTGTCCACTCCTACTGAAATAGATTTTTTTCTAGTTGCTCCTATGTTTCTTCAACCCTAGTTTCCTATTTACACAGTCTCCTTTGAGATTTCCTGCACCCCAGTCCTTGCTTCTCCATGTTTTTACTTAAAAATTTAAAAAATGGTCTCTTTATCCCACCTGAATCCAGGACTGCACAGAAGGCCAGAACTTATTTCTGAGAAGTTTGTGAGCATCCATGACACTGTTTATGATGGCAGTATTATCTTCATTCTCTTGCACTTTTATATCTGCTCAAAGCAGGAGGGAAAAAAAGAGTTAGTGCATGATGGTTATAGTATGTTCACTGCAGGAACTAAAGAAGGTAAATGGAAGTAGGTATTAAACTTTCTAAAACTTTTGATCACTTCAGGAAAAGTTACAAACATCAGAATTCTTTATTCAGTATTAATTATTCTACCACTATCCACACATTAAAAAATCTGAGGAAAAGATAAAAAAGTTTTCAGTCCAGTGATGCGAAACAGAGCTGTTAAGCCATCACTACTAAGGAATGGCCAAATAAACCACAGACAAGTTCAGTCTTACTATTTATATTACACCTTGCCCTAAGTTCAAATGAACTGAGCCTTACTGGACCAGTTTCAGCACATTCAATATAAAATAATCCCTGCCCAGGTGTAACAGGGACTTGGCTGTCTGAGAAGCCAAGTATGCCACTATCCAAGTAAAAATTATATTCTTCATCCTTCAGTCATTCATAAGCCCCATGGATACGCTTTCAATTCTGTTCTCAGCAAGCACAGAAGCAGATACCTCCCTTCCTGACTGCACATGAAATTCCATTAGGACAGTATTTGTAAGAGACTCCCAAAATACAAACCATCCTAATTTTCTTACAGGTAACTCACATTAGCAAAATAATATAAAAAGCTCTAATCACAGTCCTTAAGACTTCCTAGCAAAACTACTTACTGCTTCTTTCAAGCTGTCAGTAGCAAGGGGAAAAAAAAGGCTAAAAAATACTCAATTGGAAGATTTTTAAATTAGCAGCTTATACCCCAGCTGTACAGGGACAGAAGTGAGTAGTGAAGCATATGAGAAGGCAAATTATATATGGTCAACAGACTTTTTTTTAAAATGTTAAGCTCATTATAGGTGCTCTGAAGTGCTGCAATGTCCTTGCAACAACTAGTGCAAAAGTTCAGTCTTTGACGGTAATTAGTAAAACCTGTTAATCACACAGAGGGATGCCCAAACCTAAGAACAGTTACTAGATGAACCAGAAATAGAAAAAGAACTCCAATGTAAATCAAAATGATGTCAACACATCCCAAAGCAAAATGGTGCCCAGTAGCCCCAGGAAAAAACCAAAACCACAACTGCAAAGCACTTCAGACAAAGGCTGCCTCCAGCCATGTATCAAAACTTTTTCAGGTACCTGTGGAGATTTCAAGGTCTAGAGTATATTTATGTGAAATAAGCCCATGGTTCCTAACAAAAGTCTGGTAATCATCGTCATTGAGAGCAGGGACACTGGATTGAACTTCGGAGCATGTGCCTCCATCCAACTGTTCATGCTCAGGCTTCTCCTGTCTCTCATCTAACTCTTTGTCTTCATCAGCTCTAACACACTGAGAAACAGGGAGAATGTCCTTGCTGCAGCATGGCTGTTCATCATCCATGCACCCAAAACAGGACTGGTTATCTTCCACCTGGGAGGACAAGGGGCATGCAGGCCTAGCCTCATGAGCAGTCATCTGCTTGTTGGGTTCCAGTTCCACATCGTTTACAGCAAAGTTGAAAGGATCTGGCATCAGAAGCTGGAAACAGTTTTCCATCTCTGTCAGTGTGTCAGCAAGCTCTTGGGACATTTCTGTCAAGACACAATTGTTTTAGAAGATTGTTAAATACTGTAAAATGCTAATGTCTCCAGAGCACACAGAGTTACAAAACAAGTAAGACTGCCAAAGGAGGAATCCATTTATCCAGTGATCAGTGCTAATTTAGCCATATAGATCTCTCTCTGCTGCAGAAATTGTCCTTATAAAAGTGTTATAAAGACAATTAACTTACTTTCCTTACGCAGGAAATCTAGAATTTCCTGAGCAAGGAATGCAGAATCAGGATTCCTCCTCCCCCTATCCTCTCTACAATTTCAGTATGCTAAGATGACACAAGTACTTCAAAGAATTTGAAGGAAAACAAGGCTCAGCAAGGATATTCTTGGTGATGTTAGTGGGTATTCATTCCACAGCCATGAATTTTATAGCTGTGTGTAGGTGTAGACATGAATATATGTTATTGCTTAAAAAGATGCTACCAATAAAAATGACTTTTAGAAAGTGAAATCTTTTTAAAATTCCACTCTCATGCATGAAAATCTTTCCAGCAAGCAGAATAACTGCAGACACAACTGGATACATGACATACACCAAAGTAACTTAATTACATAACACTTTGTAACTGCAGCATAATATACTTACTATCTCTGTTCTTCTTTGTGATTACAAAAATGTGTTTACTGTGCACATGTCACTTAGAGACTCAGCCCCCAGTTACACACACTTTCTAGCTGCAATAGGGTATTTTTCATAGATATCCTACACTGCATCCAGGATTCCTGTGCAGACCACTGCCTATACTTCTGGAAAACAATAATTATATATACAATATAGTTAATGCCATCAACCAAAATGGTATTGGGAAGCCTGTGCCTGGTCAGTGACACAGAAATTGAGTCACTAGCTCTGAAAAGTCTTGTGATACGCTTCCTTGGGGTTATGCATTCAGACTTTACTGAATTACAGACCAGACCTTTATTTCATAACATTTTCTTTCTTTTTCATCTCTTCATAATACCTAAGCTCGCAGGACAATCATTTGTTTCCTCTGATACTCTTTAGCGGGAGAGAGTGAGGGTCAGGCTCTAACAAATGTAGGATTCCTGCCTTCTGTTATCAGCTATTATTTGGATACCTACTCTCCCAGAATTTGCTTTATATAACCTTAAAAAGGTTGCTTTAAAAACAAACAAAAAACCCAAAACAAAACAAAACAAAAAAAAAAACACTAAAAGAACTAAAGCAATTCACCTTCCATTTCTTTTGCAGTTCTTTTGACTTTTTCTTTGTAAATGTTATCCAACCGTTTTTGCTTCTCCTCTTCCCTCTTCCTTTCAGCCACGGTTCTGGCATGTACATCTTGAAAATCCACCTAAGGAGGAAATGAAGAAAAAAGTGTAACATTCCTCCCAAGAAATATATAGAAAATCCATTTCCTAAGATGCTTATCAGTGGTGAAAAATCCTCTAACACCAGCGACCAGCCAGAAGCTGAGCAGCATTTCCTTTTATCTCTTCTCCTCCTTGAATCAATAACTACAGCAATTCTGAACAGACTTTTTTCTTGTACTAATAAGGGACTGCTGAGAATCAGTGGTTTTCAGAAAGGAATAATAAGGTAGCAAAACAAAACACTTAAGATTTCTACATCCAAAGTGCAGGAATAAACTAGGCTTTGAGAGACTTCTATGACAGCACTGGAGACAAGGAGTTAGGTGGAAAAGGCAGGAAGAGATTATACAGGGCAGATATTAAGATCACATGAAAATGTCACAAGGTCCACTATTAATAAAGGAAATTTAGGAAAATTTGTGAGTACTATTACCACAAGTCTAGACAGCACTTAGAAAAGAACTTTTCAAGCAAAGAAAGCAGAAAAGAACACGTTCAAATTCATTCAGAAAGACCAAATGTGATTTTACGATTGCATTTGTTGGATTTCAGGATTGAGGGGAAAGTTAACATTCAGTCTCACTTACGACTAAATTTTAACATAAACCTGAGTGATTCAAAATGCTGTTTTCTAAAATATTTGCAATTTTTACATTTTTAAGTCCTTTAAAATTTGGTCTTAATACGGGCCAATCATTTTCACTCCTGTTTTAAGGGAGGGAGTCTTGACTGTGTCACTGCATAAGGAAATCCTCTTGAAAAAGAAAACCACAGTTATTTCCTTTTGATTGCTACCACATAACCCTCATTGCCTCCACAAAGCTGACTCTGAGTGCTGTGCAAGCCCATACTTTGCTGATGCTGAAGCCCAGAGCCTCTCTGGTGCACAAACACTCCCTGAAAGTTTGCCATTATTGCCACTGCTGGATGACCAAGCATGTCAACACCCAGTAACACCTCCCAGATACTGACAGCCCTCACCAAGGTTTAGGAGCCACACAAATGGGGTTTACATAATAGCTGTCACAGAAACTGGCGTGGAGAGTCTTGGTCAGTTTAGGCAGAGGCACACTCACAACTTGTTTTTCTTTTAGTGGGGAATGGGTGGACAGAAGGATAGTAGGGAAAAGAACTAGTTTCACAACCCTCAGCAGCACAGCACGTGAATCACCAGAGTGAGCTTTCACAGTTTTCAGAATGTGATTTTTCTACCAAGTCTGCATTGTTCTCCACACAGAAGCAGGAGAAACAGATCCTCTCAAAGAGCAGCATCACCTACAAAAGCAGAGCAAAGATAGAGAACCCAAGAACTACAGCATCCATCCATGCATTCCTCAGATGCAAAGACACTATAGTATGACTCAGGTGCCCAAATATGCAAACATTTGGAAACACGTGAAATATTTTCCCCCTTTTCTTCTTTTTTCAAACTTTTGAGACAGGAGTTTGAAAACAATTATTTTCACATATACTGAAATATTATTTTTTAAGACAAATATTTATATAGGCACCTACTTGGTACCAACTACTACAGACCTACTAACAGTAAGAGTGTGGAGCTCTCCAGGTTTACACCCTAAAAGGGCAGCAGCATCATCTTCTGACTGTTTATAAAGTGATTTTGGTGATAGTTGTAAAAAAAAAAAACCAACCACAAACTACATACATAGCTAACACTCCTCCCAAGTTGCCCTACACTACTGTGCCAAACCTGTAACACACAGGAGCAGACGTACTTTACTACCAGAAAGTACAAATGCCTCCTCAAACCTTCTGGTTGCTTCACACACTTCAAGTATTAAGGTGACAAAAGGCCAGAAGTTAGGCCAGTTGGCTCACCTCAACTCTAAGTACAAGAATTATCAAACTACCTAAGGTTGTTTCTATTAATATTTCTAGAGGAATTCAGTATCAGCTGCTCTAGCAAACAGCACAGCCAACCTCACTGGGTAGCTTCAATCACAAACAGAGAGGGATTGCCCAGTCCTTACTGGGGAGCAGGTACTCACCACAGGAGCACAGACAGACCTGCCAAACCTCAGCAGAATTGCTGTACACTTGTGTTCAGTTGGGTCAAACTGTATTAAGTGTTAAAGCTCCCTTGTCTGTGTCTTGCATTTCTTCCTGTCTGTCATTTAGCTTTCTTTATTAAACAAAACAATACAGGACAATTCAGACTATCACTTTTTGTGAGCAGATGCCAAAAACTGTATAAAAACCAACACAGTACAGTAAATAGGGAACACAATTAGCTTAGTACAGAACCAGAACAAGTGAGCAGAACACATGTAGCACAAAGGTTTTTTTGATCTGCTGTTAGGAGCACTGAACATCTGTCTTTCTGAAGAGATAGAAAATCAGTATGTTTATTGAAAAGCCTGTTATTATCATTGTAGACAGTGTGAATGCTAGGACAGTGTTCCCAAAGTCACTGTCTGCACCTTAGAAGAGACATTAAACCATCAGAATGTTCCAAACATCGTAACTTGAAGCCTTGTCTTTGCACAAAAAAATTCACTTTAATAGAATTCCTTCTATGGCACAGTAATACTGCAGCTGAGAGGGGCATCCACCTACACTTGCTGCTTGTTGTACAGCAAAGGGAAGCTAGAACTGGACAGCTCAGTACAGAAATCTGATTAGGTTAAACTGGCACAGAAAGGTTTAAAAGCTAGGTATCCCCAGTTAAAGGTATAACCACTATTTCTCTTCCAAAAAGGGCTAGACCTTGGGGGTCCAGGCAGGAATCGGTGGGTAAAAACCTGCTGGTGAGCAAAACTCCTTGCATCCTGAGAAAAGACTAGCTGAGCTCAGCTAAGAGTGCTAGCCTGGGGCTTTTGAAGCTTAAAATACTTCAAGATCGAGAGAAAGTCTGGGGTTTGTTTTCCATCAACAGGATGTCTCCTCCAGGCAATGTAATTTCCAATAGCTTCTTTTTATATTGATTGGTTTTCTTGCTTTAAACATCTCCTAGTGATCATGGGATCACAGAATATTCAGAGTTGGAAGGGACCCATGAGGATCACTGAGTCCAACTCTTGGCCCTGCACAACAATCACTCCATGTGCTGGAGAGTCCAAATGCTTCTCGAGCTCTGTCAGGCTTGGGACTGTGACCACTGCCCTGGGGAGCTACTGCAGTGCCCAACAATCCTCTGGGTGAAGAACCTTTTTCTAGTACCTAACCTAAACCTACCCTGATACAACTTCAGGCCATTCCCTGGAGTCCTGTCACTGGTCACCAGAGAGAAGAGCTCAGTGACCACCCCTCCTCTTCCCCTTGTGAGGAAGTTACACACTGTGACGATCATCAGCTACAAAATACACAGTGGAGTAGAAGTGCAGAGTACCTTCTTATTCTGCTTTAGGAAGTGGTATCCCAGAGAAAGCTGCTTGTAAGCCTCTCCATACTTCTCATGCCAGTCCTGCACTGCCTTGATGGCAGCTTTCCTCAGCTTCTGCGCCACCTCTCTGGGTGGGGGAAGGGGCTGCTCATGGTCTATTCCCACTGTGAGCTCCAAGAAATCCTGGAAGTTGGAGATAATCAGCGTCCTGAACTGATGGGACCTGACGAACAGCTCCTGCACGACCTGGAAGGCTGAGAAGCGCATCTCCGCGTGCTCCTCATTGAGCCGTGTCATCAGCAGGTGGTAGGCATGGCTGATGTGCTCCGACGACGACCTGGGCAAAGTGGAACGGGAGAAGAAGGAGGGCGAGTTACTTAAAAAGAGGTTCAGCACAACTACGTAATGACACGGCTTATTTTAAATTTATTGTAAATTTTAAAACAGCAGCTTCCGCGCTGGCAGCGCGGCCCCGGCGACAGGCTCCAGGGCGGCCCCCGGGGCTGCC